CTCACTTTGGTCCTGGCTCTTCTTTTGTATTGTATTGGAGTGTGGATGAATGAAAAATGAGAGGGAAATGTGCGTGAGGTCATGCAGAGGTCCGATCCCTGAACTTTCCCCTGTTTATGTTTTCCTTAAAAAAACATACTTTAGAAAAGTCAATAGAATTCCCAAAATGCAAGAAAACCTATTTCCTCTAGTACCATCAGCCATATAAACTTTATTAGCCATTAACTGCCACTTATTCCTTTTTAGGGCTGTGGGGAGGCACTGAAGCCAATTGCAGCTATCTACTGGTGAGGGTGGGGTACATCCTGGACCATTCGCCAATCCATTGCAGGGTCACATAATGAGACAAACAAATATTCACACTCACCTTCATACCTATGGCCAATTTATAGTGTCTGATCAACCTACTCTTCTATCCAGCATGTTTTGGGCTGTGGGAAAAAACGTAACTGTACCAGGACACAACCCATGCACACACGGAGAGAACATGCAAACTCCAGCATTGACAATGAGTTTACCAAACACGTTTCTATCACAGTCCGTAGTCCAGGCTTTCCCAGCACATGACAGGATGGTAAGTAAATTGAGAGACTTTACGGCTTCCTGGGTTTCTAACCACACAATTATCATAGACTTCACAGTGAATCATATCAGCAAACATATTTTATGATTTAAGTGCTGTGTGTAAAGGATGCATTACAGCTATTTTTCAGACAGGAAGTGATTATTTATGAATGAGACACATTAGGATTATTGACAGACAGGGATAGAAATTCTCGTTAGATCAACAGTGATTTAAAAATGGAACATGTACTGTACCTACAACCCGTTTCTTTTGTTCCATGTTTGCAAATTATTTTCAGATCTAGATAAAGAATCAATGTGATTATGGCATAACGTCAATTATTAGAGACTGTGTTCTCTACCAGTGGGCACATTCACAACTTGCTGAACAAAGTCTGTGAGAAATTCATCAAGTTCACCTAAAGTTATCAATCATCAACATGTGAAAAACATTATGTCTATCTGTTGAGAAAGACAGTGTCAAATGGACGGTCTAGTCTCAAAGGACGACAGATATGCAGTGACTACTGGTTACGTTTCTACCTCCCTTCATTTAGGGAGGTAACACTTTATTTAAGTGTTTTTCTTAACCATATTCTATTTTTATAAAACTAAAAAACAGTTCATGGTTTTACCTTTATTTGAATATTAAGTCCACGCTCCCGTTTTGATTTCCGCCATATTCTTGTAAAGTTTCCTTCGATTTTTCTTCCTGTTGTTTAAGTGAAGCCATAAACAAAGGTAAATACAATTATAATTTTTATTATTGAATTATTTTTTTATTTTTAAAAAAATATATATCCCGCCGCAGTGCACATGACTTCCGGATATCGCTCTCACTGGTGTGGAACAAACACCAGCTGGACTCACGCCTGCCTCCTTTGGTTCGGCGTGGTATTGTTTGCCTCGTTCGATTGCATTTTCCTTCTTTATTTCTAAATTTCACACGTAAATGGCATTCATGTTATTGTTCAAAGGTTATGGTCCATGTAACCGCAGCAAATGCACGTCGTAAGCCACTGTTTAAAGGTGTTAAGAACTGGAAACTTTTATTGTTTCTTTACTATTACTATTTTATTGTTTAATTGCCTTTGATTTAGGGAATTTCTATTTACCTTAATCTGATACTGTTGAAGGTTACAGATCCCTACATCAGGGATGTAATGGAAAAGGCATGTGTGATACTGTTACTGAATTGGTTGACAAAATAAACACAGGGTGGCTCCCACAATCCCTTTCTCCCTCCATGTTTATCAATGCCACCTTCATGTTGTCTCATAAAACCTACCGTAAATGCTGGTGACCTGAACTAATGGACTACTGCAAGACTTCTTTAAAGAACTCCAAGAAGGTTCTCCGAGATCAGGGCTGGGGTATCAAGCAAAGTAAGCCAGCAGATAGGAACACGTGACTTAAGTGTGGATAAAAAATAAAACACAGAATACTTTCACTTTATTTTATAATATTTTATTGGGTTTTGGTTTGAGAAACATCAAACAGGCTTCAGTTTTTCCAGTGCTGCTGCAGATGTTCACCTAAAACAATTCATTGTCTGCTCTTACACAAAAACATAAAAAAAATAATGACAATTTTTAAGGACCAAGTTTTACTTCAGTGTAAAACTATATGAAGTTTAAAAAAAAAAATCTTTTTTTCTCTGTGGATAAAACACAGTTGAGGGGAGGTTAGAGTTTCTACTCTGCCACTGACGTTGCCATAACAATCACTAGAATAAACACCAAAGTTCAAACGTACGACTTGTTCCTCCATAGACCTGACAGTGACAGATCCAAAAAACAATTTAAACCTTAGAATAACACAATTTCCAGACTGTTAACACAGATTTCCAAAAATCTTCCCTGCTTAGTTTCTTATTAGCAGTCTATTAACTCTCCATCCCTCAAAGATCCAACAGTTACCTCCCTCTGGAGAGGTCCCAGAGACTACAGGTCCAATCATCACTGTTTAAGACAGCAGCTTTTTAATAACACTACAGATTTACATACATTAAGGTATCATTAACATAATGGATGATTCTGGTAGAAAAGACAGATCAGTAAAGAGAGAGTTTGTGACTGTGCAGAATAAAAGACTCCATCTATTTTCTCTCTATATGCAAACTTTATTTTTCAACTGATCTTAAAATACCACCAGGGAAGACCCAGATTACGGATGCTGATCAGAAAAATGGGAACATGGCCAAGAAGACCAAGTGTGAATATTTCTGAGTTACTTCTGAAACCAGAAAACATACTTCCTACTCTAGGGTTGCCTAAACCTGAGGACACTCTCCACCATGGGGACAGTGTGTCCTGATGTTAATAAAGACCTGAAGTCCAGACTAAAAGGCTGGTTTAAGCTGGGTTTTTTATGACCAATGAAGACTGGAGGTTACACAATAACCAACTGTGTCTGTTTTAAACCTGTGATGTCTGCTGGGTCCCTTCAACTATGGACTTCCAACTGTGGAACTGTTCTTTTCTATTGGAACAATGACCTGCATCAGTCTGAACCTGAACACAGGATCTATCCGTGGACCTGGGAATGTCCAGACACATGCATGTTTTTTAATGTTACCACGAGAATGTCCATGGACCTGTCAACATAAACGTCATCCTGTGAATGAACCTGTCCCCACAAGAGCTCAGTGTATGTGACAAACACAAAACAACCTCTTAAACAGAGGTGAACAGTACCAAAGCAGGAACAGTGTTAGCTACGTACATGAACTCCTCAGCAGTGTGCAGGGTGTCCGGCCATCTGGCTGTTACTTTGTTTGTCTCTCAGCATGCTGAGCGCCGTGTTGGAGAAGTCCCTCAGGATGTCCACCGTCTCCCTCTGCAACAGCAGTGACTCCTGCACAAACTCCTGCTGGCTCTCCACCAGCAGCTGAACCGACTGAGCCAACACCTCCAGAGACTGAGACACAGACGACAGCAGCATCCGACTGGCCCGCTGCTGCTGCACACTCTGAAATGCCATCTGGGATACGTGGTCCTGAACTCGGCGGGAGGACGCACCAGCCGGAAGTGGGTCACATGGGTCCGCGACTGAAGTGGCAGCCTGACTAGAAGGCAGAGTGGAGGGGGTCGAGGAGAGAGTTGGTTGTTTAGAAAGAGGGAGGGAGAAGGAGGAGGAAGCGAGGTCAGAGGTAGCTGGATCAGTCAGTCTTGAGCCGGTAACAGACTGAGCCCCCTTGGTGGCATCTGAATTTGAGGTGGAGGCAGCAACATCCGCAGTGGAAGAGGCCTCAGGTGTAGGTCCAGTGTTGTTTTGTCTCTGGATGTGGTTGATGTTCTGGTTGCCGTTTCTGGAGTAGGTGTGAACTGGTTTCATCCTCATCAGGGCGTTATCAGGCAAAGGGTCCAAAGAGGAAGGTGTGGGAAGAGAAGTAGGGAGGGAGGAGAACAAGGAGTCGTCATTTTCATCAAAGTCCATGGTGCCTTCTGTCAATAACAGGCAGATATGACTATTGAGTTTCACAGCTTTGACACTGAGCTACAGAAAAGCTACAGAAAACACCCAGTGTGTCCAAACATGTCCCTCACAAACCACAGCTCACAAACTCTGAACTATACCTTTAATTCACCTGTCTTACAAAAACTATGGACCTACCTCCATCTTCTCCCATGTCCACTTCAAACTCTGGGGAAGAACGGAACTGTTCTCCTGTAAAATATCACAAGAAGAAACATCTTTACTCTGGCCAAGCGTCTGGTAAGAGTCAGAACTTCACTGACGACGTCAGACGACAACGACTGACGACGTGACAGCACACAGATCTGCTCACCACTAGTGTCTTTCTCAGGTGAGGACAGAGGAGAGATGTCGCCCGAGACTCCTTCAGGAAAGGGGTGCGAGTTGTCCATCACGCTGAGGTAGGAGTACGAAGCTGTGGATTCATCCTCAACTCCGACCTCAAGGTCACTGTCGTCACCTAATGAGCAACAAACCACAGGGAGTTTAGAGTAAACCTGGGGAACAGGAAGAAGGGAAACCTGTTGAATCTACAGCAGGTCATGGAAACAGGCTAGTATCACGTTGATGAATTCTGTGAGGGCGCAGCGGTGTGAAGTTCTAGTCTGTGACGTGTGTCACCATGTGTTTCAGGGCTGAGACACATGTACAGGTGCTGGTGTTAATAGAACCACAGATATTTGTAACTACTGAGTAGTACGTTTATTTCCAGAGTACTTCAGGTATCACTTAAATGCAGGACACACTCTTGATGTCAGCAAGTCACCTTAAAAGCAAGTTATTTGTCTTAAGTGTTTGTGGACCAAATGTTACTGGACCATTGTTCATGCAGCAGAACTTTTTTACTAAATTTCGAAAGATACTTTTGAATTATTTACCAGCAGAGGAGGTTGGCATTACACCGCCCCCTTCTGGATCACTTGATAACCATCTCATATACAGTAGTACATGGAAGTTGAAGGCGTGACTATGGTACGTTGAAGGCACTCGGACTCCCTCTAGTGGTGTAGAATGAGTTGTATTACCGACTCCCACCTACTGTACTTGTCACACGTTGTTTTTCTCTTTAATTCTGGAATTGAACGCTGCAAATGTTTAAAGATGTTGAAGAACATTTAATGTTGATGAGAATACTTTTTTGATTCTCTCTATTTGATTTAAACACTAAAGAAAAGAGTTAGAGTAAATGTATTCAGCAGCCCAAGACTGTGTTGAATCCAATGATGAATGGAAATACAACTATATCCTAACTAACTCTAAATTCCAGTTCAGTATCTCTGCGCTCCTGTGTTCACCTCCTTTCGGACTCATCGTCAATATTTTGTGTACCATCTTCTCCACAACACCCAGGTTCTTCTTCCTGAACGTGGAACCATTGGGCCCCCGCAAGGCTGCGATGCGTCTTTTTCCGTCACATTTGAGATCGGCCCATTTCTTCATGATTTGGCGCACCTGGGAAAAAACATGTCATATCATCATGTCACACAAACCACGTTTCTTAATCTGCTACAACTGGAACTGTTTTTAAACTAAGACACCAAGTAACACTGACAGTGTTAGTTTAGTTCCACACAGTGACAGACTGACAGCTCATCAGACTACATGTTGTAAGATATTATAATTGGCCTGGAAACAGTGAACAAACAGATGGAGCACAATGTCATAGAGACAAAACTGGGCCTGAATTATAAAACACCACAACTGTTATCTAAATACAGAACTCGGAATGGGCAATGATTTTCAAATATTCAAAATTCCAAAGTAGCTAAATCATAAATAATCAATTAGTTTACCATGTCTGAAAAAAATGATATCTTTGTTATACTGGCACCTTCTGCACGGGGGTAGTATAGCAGTTGATTCACTGTCTGACAGGCATGTTAGATGCCATTGTAAAGCATGTGTAAACTGGTCATGTTGGCTTTGTTTTATGGTTAATGGAGAAGATGGAACAGTTAGATTAAGAGGAGTAAATGCTCTGACCATGTGAGTGGATTAGACAAACACACACACCTCTCTGTGATTCTCGCCTAGTGCGTTGATCTGATCTGTGATTTCAGCCCATGTTTGTTTCTTGGCTTCAACTGACACGCCCCTGTTGAACTTGTCTGTGGGAGAAAAACAACGAGTGAAGTGAGTGGTTTAGGGCGTATGTTGAGATACAAACACATGGACTAGTCCTTGAATAACTGGATTTCAAGGCTGTTTCTGACATTAAACATCTTCGAATGGGTCACAGACTTCTCATGCAGAGATCTGGTTCAGGATCTCTCTTCGTTGACCAGATCAGCCAGGACAGACTTTGACAGAATTTCCAACTGTCTGATTCCTGCGGGCGGGTCTGTGAATCAGACAAGGCTGGAGCTCAGACATGGTTCGTGGATCGGAATCTTTCGATCAATTAATTACATTGGGATTGGCTGCTGATACCGATACTGGATCCGATCGGCCCTATCCCTACTTCATAGGTCATTTTATGTCTAAATATATGATGTTTATGACCTTTATGCCTATCCCTACTTCATAGGTCATTTTATTTATTATTTTATTTTTATGTATATGATGTTTATGACCTTTATAACCAGCCACCACAGGGCGACTCAGACACAGTTTGGGGATTAAATGTGACCACACATTTAACACGGCTGCTGTTTATCAGTTAGTTTGGAGTCAGTTAAGAACTGTGTAGAATGAGTTGACCAATGGACTCACTCAAAAGGATGGATCTGTTCTTCTTCACTGCATCCAGCAGCAGCTTGACCTCAGTGATGGAGAACCTTGGTTTGGACCGCAACCCTCCTTTTACTGGTCCAATCCTAAACTCCTCATCATCGTCTCGCCACGAGGACATTTCCTCTCCACTTGGTCAACACTGTCGTCTGATGTGACCCACACTTGACTCAGTGTGACTATGAAGAATCATCAAGATGAGAGAAAACCTGACAGAAATAACCGGAAAATGTTAGAATGCGAAGGAATCAAAGTTAAAGCCATTATAAAAGCCATAAAAAAGATATAAAAAAGCATTTGGACACTTAATAAATCAGGTCCACAACAAAGTGGATTCATGATCATTTCTAATCTGTACACTATTCTTATTAAATATGCAGCTGTTCAACAGTAGAAATTGTCAATGGTGTGCAGCTGTCAAACTAATGTTGGTTCAGGGGCCACACAGATGTTAAGGGGGCCGAAGTCGTACAGTGGAACCCCTAGATACAAGCTCCCCGAAATACAAGTTTTCCATGGAAATATCTAGTTACGAGTGCTCAACCAAGGACTGGCATCCATTCAGTTGTACGGCATGAGGAAGCTGGAAACTCTGATGCCAAAGCAGCTGTGGTCACAAAATTTTGTCAGTTTGTAACAAACCTTTAGTGTTTAGTCCTATGACTAGTGGCCCAACACTCACGCTCACTCACTGTCCATCACTGGGTTATTTAACCCATTTTTACAACAATAAAATAAAATGTTTTTAATTATTATTTTATATTATCAATACATTTGTTTATATCTATGTTTTGATGTTTAGATGGGGGATTTTAAACTGGTATCCAGGGTTTCCACTGTACAATCATAACATAATTATCAATAAATAATTATAAGCCCTTGATTTGCCCCTTTGATTTTCTGCAAAAATAAAAGTATGGCATGGTTTTGGCCCGTGGACAATATGTTTTCCAACCCCGATCTAGATCTTGTCTTTATTTTTTAATGACGTCACCTTACATGTAGACCATTTGTTTTTGTGTCAACGACGTTTAAAAGACGTTTCAAACGCAAAGTTGATATCATATGATTCTCTACGCTGCGTCTCCTTTTCACGTGATTCCCCTTGGCCAATCAGCAGGGACCTGCATGAGCCTTTGTTGAGCTCTAGCCTCTGTACCGACTCCGCCATCTCAGTTAGGGCTGCACGGACGAGCGGTTAATGCTGCGTTAATAACCGTAAACACCGGAATAAGCTCTTGACACGGACACGCGACTATAACATGGAGACAAAAATTACGCGCTTTTGATAGTAGCCTACGTCAACTTACTTTACATTGTCTGGCACCGCGACGGCAGTGCTGCTGACAGAAAGGCGAAGGAAATGTCTGCCAACTGCCTCTGTGAAGCTACGCACTTTTTAAGCTTCGTAGGTTTTTTACGCGACTTTTAAAACAATAGTCAAACACGTGGGCGATTTTATGTTGGCAATGTATTCGCGACGTGTGGAGATTAGGGTGTAAAATCAGTGTTTAAAAAATAAATACCAGAGAATTGCTGCAGTTCTCTCCAACCTCCTTCAGCCGCGTTTCTCCCGAAATTTCGGAGTGACGAGAAAATCGCAAGTGTGCAAACACCGCGAGATTTGTTTTTGCGTCGCAAGAATGCGCAACATCTTGTTGCCGTGCGCGCCCCCAGCTGTCCTCACACGGACACTGAAATGTTCAATTAAATTTCACTCCAGAAGTGACTGATTCTGATCAATATCCATACAGATGTGTTGTATGAACAGACAAACACACCCCAAACTCACCACAATCACGCTATTCAACAATTTCTCTCTCGGGGTCAATACAATATTTGTGCTTCAAACACCACTTACAGACTTCCACCGGTGACGTCATATTCGTAAGTTTTGACGTGCGCAATTAATTGTACACATTCAAATCACGTTTGTGCAAGAAAACGTAAATGACAGCGGCCTCAGAGGTCAGGAAAGGTCATCAGCAGCTTTTATTGACTGATCCGGCCATGATTCAAATCAACATTTATATGTAAACAAACTATTACAACTCGGTCGACAGCAGCTAATAAAGCTAGAACTTGTCATGTTACTAGTTACTAGTTCCAATCACATTCAATTGAAATTAATATAATGGAATATAGAAAGATCACGTGGGATTTAAAAGTACTTAAAACCTGGTGACTGATGCCCGTTACGATAAGACCTGAAAACACACCCTTGTTTTATGCTAAAATCCAAATAAGGCAGATGCGAAAGTCCAGTTCCCACGCTTTTCCGCCTGGGGTCCCCAGAGTTCTTGTTCTCACATAAGTGCTCTTGCGCCATATATACCATGTGTGTATATGTTTATGAACTGTATATATATATATATGTATGTATGTATGTAGGACATTTTTAGATTAATGCAATAAATACAGCTCATAGTGACCTGGCATTGTCTCTAAATTATTTTACCCTTTTACAGAGTGAAATGGTTTCTAGATCTGATATTTCCGTGATTCTGTTTTTTCCGATGTTGCAGCAGCAGCAGCAGTGACTCAGTCTCTCAGACTCTGACCAGAATACTTTGTTTACTATTATACTAACTGCGGGAATTAGTGTCGTACCTGCATTAGGTTGAATTACACAGTGAATAAGTGATTATTTAAAATATAACTTGATGTTGATCACGTGTTGATGTAATGTGACCTACAGTCAGAACTTACAGAGAAATACTCAGTCTGCAGGTAAACATCACCTACATTGGTACATTTAATCTTTGTACAGTTGAGAATCATGTTTTACTTCAGATAATACTGTGGTATTATCTGACTGTAAAATCTTGTTTTGCATCATCAGCTACGAGTTATGATGGAAGCTGAGGGCCATCTGTCGAGTCCAGCGATTGCCCAATTCAGCATGAACTCTAACCCACATTATTAGGCAGCCTTGACCAGTGTGATCTAGTAAGTCTACTCATGGTACTGTAACTTGGGCTCACCTGTAAAAGTTCTTAGTGATGGAAACTGGGTCTGGGACTGACAAACACTGCTGACAACAACAGACTGGGCTCAGTCATGATGACAGAGAAAAACATTTCAGTGTGTGGACATTTAAAACAAATGAAGGTGCAAATAGGATGAGGCTGTGACAGGATGATATATAGTGAGGATGAGGATGAGGATGAGGATGTACTTCTATCGCTTCATGAGATTATTAGCTTTCTGATTTGCTGCGTCTATGCGGGACACGTTAAGGATGGCCTGCAGAGAAGAAGAAATGTTGGTCACATGTAGTAATATACAGTACAAGTACATTCTTGTAATGCAGCTGTGACTGTGACAACTTACTCCAGGGAGAATCACTCATTTACATACTGTAGAGTTCTGGTGTATTAAACAGTACCTTTCCCTGAATGCGATCGATCTGATCATTCTGCAGGAGAATCTCGTTGCCCATATCCAGAGCCATACTCTTCAGGTTTCCTACAATGCTGCCCACATGGGCCAGGTTCTCCTCCATCTCATCTTCACGGGCGTCGTTAGTCACCCTGTCACAGGTCCAGACACAGGACAGTGTCATCTAAAACCCTGTCTTTATGACCGTGTCTTATGTTTGTCCAGCTGTCCACACATAGAACAACGGCTCCTATTACATGTCTTTATAAAAGAAGAACAAACACATGTTCACCATGCAGCTGCCTGCAGCCCAACTGTGTAAGTGTCTACTGTACTGCACCGTCCTGAGGTGAGTTTAAATCAGTTTATGAAATATTCACTTACTGATGCTGGAGCCAACCAGCAGGAACCTGCTTTAAATGATATAGAAGCTACTGAGCAAGAAAAAAACAGTGAAGTTAAAGATGGTGACGAGACCGGGAGTAAAACAAATCTCTGAGTTTTAATGGACCTAATCCATAGATTATACTGAGTCATCGCTTAAAGACCTGAGGCTGAACTTGATCCAGTTAAAGACAACACCACCATCACCACCAACAACCACTTCTCTATGATGCTCTCAGAAACCTGAACTACCCCTTTAATTCCATCCATGAATAATTGTCTTGCTCTACCTTCGTATGTATCCTCCACTCATGACCATTTGTTCCCGTGCATCAACCACCCGTGACGATGGCGGCTGATTGGACACAATACCGTCCTGAGCAGAGGCTCCGCCCCACACAGCTTTGTAAGCTCCGCTCTCCTCGAAGGCCTTGAGTCTACAAGGAAAAAGACTGGATAAATGTGAGGCGTTCAGGAACCAAGGGTGGTTTTAGTTTATGAGGATGAAGGTGAGCAAGCAGAGGAGAAAATGTAGCTGCTGCTGTGCAAGAGGGTGCCCAAGTAATGGTATGAATCCCATAGTTGAGAACCATTTAGCTTGACTGAATAACAGTATGAACCACCTGGGGGCTCCTCCTCTTTAAAAAACATCACACACATACACTCACACACTCCTCCAGCTCTACCTACTTAGAGCAGGAGCAGAGGCCACAGCACTTGCCCAGGTCAGTCAGGTTTTTTTCAGCCTCTCTCATGTCAGAGTTGATCTGATCCAAGCCCTCCTCTACACGCTCCAACTGCTCTATGGGAGGAGGTGAAAAGTGGAAGGTGGACATGTGGAGAAGTCCCAGGTGATGGGAAACAAAGAAGGACAAAAATAGCAGAAAAGAGAAGGCAACAAAAAGCACAAAAAAGGAAAATTAAATCAGCATACAAAAAGCCCAAAGCTGAACTCAAATAAACCAGAAAAATGCGGACCATGGACTGCACAAAATCCTCCCCTGACCAGGTGAGGGCACTAAAGTGCTCTGCAGACCTGCAGCTGAGAAGACAGCAGTAGCAGAAACCTGGAGCAGAGCTGAGCTCTGACCAACCCAGCTCTGATGTCCAGCTCCGGTCTGTGTAAACACTGGAACCAGGGATTTTTTAACAACTTTTATTTTTCAGTTTATTTCAAAGGGATAGTTCCAGATTTTCCTACAGGAGGTTTTGACAGAACGTTGTTGGTTTTCTCAGTGAACTGCTTTGATGCTCTGATTGGTTACCTGTTTTATTGATCAAATCAAAGACCTGTTCTTTGAATAATGGGATTTTTTAAATATTTTTTGTGCAGGTGTAATACCATTTGTGGTCACACGGACTTATCTATTTAATCATTCATTAATGCATTCAGATCATGAGGATTTGGGTGTGTGTGGGGGGTGGGAGGGTGGGGGTGGGGGGTTAAACCATGGACAGTTCTATAGTCCAAAATAATACAACCATAAAAATCTGAACTACCCCTTTATTTGATTGTAACCTAATTGAGTTGGGCAGCAGTGAGAGGTACATAGGTGAGCTAAAGGTGGGGGGTCCCAGCATTTGGACCTACTTCCTGATTGGCCAGACACACAAACCACAGCACTGGGCCATGTCTGTCAAGTTCTTCTCTGCCTCCCGCATGTCCCTGTTGATGGTGTCCATGCCTTCTTCAATACGCTCCAGCTGCTCTGTTAGAACAGGAGTGTGATGGGGTGGAGGTGGAGGTGGTGAAGGTGAAGGTGAAGGGTGGAGGTAGAGGTGGTGATGAAGGTGAAGGTGAAGGGTGGAGGTGGTGAAGGTGAAGGGTGGAGGGTGGAGGTAAAGGTGGTGATGATTCATACAGCCGTTTGTAAAGGTCTCAGAGGAAAACAGGAGATACAGAAGGAAAGAAAGAAGAATGAAGATGGGCTTCAGTCCTTACCTCCTTGTTCATCCAGCATCACTAGAGCTCTGATCCCAGCATCTTTCAGGTGGAGGAGACACACACACACACACACACACACAAATAAACAAACACAGAATAACTGAAGTAGTGTGGTTTGACCAATTCTGATCCACACATCTTGGATTTACTGGTTGTGTGTACACTGAGTCGACAATCAACAACACACCATCAACAACCATCTGTCTAATTCACCATCACATGAAGAGGTGACTTTAGACCACCAGAGACCACCAGAGAGCACCAGAGAGCTCATGGTCAACATTATTATCCTCTCTGTTTCTGTTTTAGCGTGTGTTTGTGTTTACCTCCTCCACCAGTTGCATCATCCGTCTTGTGCTTTCCAGAGACTGAAAGACACATATATATATTATCCAGGAGATACAGGAGACAAAGCAAAGAGGCTGAAGAGCAGCATGTGGCTCAGGAGCCAGGGGTTGAGAGCCCTGGTCTAGACTAGGTGTATTTATATTTCTGTATGCAGTGGGATGTGAGGACAGAGGAGGTCCTCATTAACAACTTTGTGAAGACATTTACCAGTTTTTCACTACCTTTGAAGACATATTTGGATCAAGACTTAGCTTCAGGGTCAGGGTCAGGGTCAGGGTCAGGGTCAGGGTGGGGTTTAGTACAGTACAGTAGTGTTTGTGTGCTTGTTAACCCATTTGGTACCAGCCCACATCAGCAGGCTGTTTCTTGAACACTGCACGGGCGACCGTTGGGACTTGTCTCTATGGTAACCATGTAGCCCTGGTGTCCTTAAAGGGCCAGTCCCCTCTGAGGGAGCTCTGTCCTCAGCAGCACTGATGCAGTTTTATCAGATTTGACTATAACACGCTGAGTGAACTGACCATGTCACATGATAATTCAAAGCTCCCTCACTGGTCAGTCCTGTTCCAGCAGGTAGATTGCACCAACATTGTTTTTGTTTGTTTACTGTCTGGTCACTATAGGTTAAATAAAAACTGAATAAAGAGGTGAACATGAACATATTTACCTGAATTATTTTATATTGTTTTTTTAAACTATTTGCCTGGTTGTTTGGTGGCAGGGGTAAGAAAAACGAGAGTGAGTGAGAAAATTCTGCAGTGCTGCTCTGTTCACACCACCAGCTTCTTATTGTTCCATCAAAAGAAACAACTTCTTAAATGTTATTTAAAGATTGGTTGAAGAATTCACCTCATCTGTGACCTGATTGGCTCTCCTCTCCAGTTCCTCCTGTTCTGTCAGGATGGGTGGGTCTGATGCCATGGTTCTCTCTCTCTCTCTGTGTGTGTGTGTTTGTTTGTTTGTGTGTGTTTTAGCCTTAGTTGGCCAGATTAGTCCTCAGCATCAGGTGGTTTTGAGACCTGAATAGACAGAGAGAGAGAAAGGTTTACAACTTTAACATTTTGACATTCTCCTAAATTACAACTTAAAAAGTCTATCTCGAAAACACCATAGAATAATGAGAAAAACACTCTGACATAAGACAATACATAATTGAATTAAATCAATCCTAACCTACAAATACACACACCTCATTACTGTCCATGACCAGATACTGTTCCACTGCTGCGTTCACTTGAACATTATTATTTTTCAAAGCCTCTTAATTTGATTTCTCAGAAACGTCCTGAGCTCATCTCACTTATCTCTGCCTCTGTAGGACAAACAGATTCAAGTAGAAAAATACAGGACAGCAGTGATCAGACAGGTGGGTTCAGACCACAGTGGTTCATGGCCTCTGGGTGACGGTTGGCTCTGAGGGTGTGACTAACAGTCAGCCTCCTGAGACATGACACACTCTGTGGAGACCCGGCTGAGGCTTTGTCCTGTGAACACTATTCTGTACAGAACATCTCAACACACCAGGTCATGTTCCAAGACCAAACAGTCCAGACAGGGTCCCTGTACTGTACCCAGAACTGGACCACACAGAAAAACCCATCCATTTTGATAAACAGCGACGCCGAGTGACGCCACCTTTCCTTGCGACACACACGCACACCTGTGCGGACTGATGAGTGCAAATATGAGACGTTTAGTCAGAGGAAATAATAACCTTAAAAAAGTCAAACGGTCTCTGATGATAAGAGACATGTTCACTCATTAATGACTTCTGATTCAACTTAAACTAACGCCACCTCCACACACACTCACACCTTTGAGTTATTAGTTACCGTCCGATGAATAGATTCACTTTTAAACGTTTACAAACGCAGCAAACATGTAGGTTTTAACGACTTTTACCAAACACACGTAAAAACTACCAAAAGAAGAGAGAAGGAAATATTTCATACCTTTCTTGAAATAAAATTAAATCAGTTTCATCTCCTGAGACTTTATTTTCAGTTGTGACTCCATCCACAGTCTGCAGCGAACAAGACGTCAGAGCCGTTACCTCCAGTACCATCCGCCTTTTACTCTACACCGCCCCCTGCTGCCTATCGCCGACCCTTCCCCGACTTACACATATTATTATATTATATTATATTATATTATATTATATTATATTATATTATATTATATTATATTATATTATATTATATTTTCTGTGTAATATGTTATTTTCGTTGAGGATTTATTTAAAAAAATTCAAAATTCCACATTCATTCATTTGATATTTTCTACTTCCTGTGACGCCAAAAACTTTCAATATGATCCAAGTATTTCTGAATAATATAACAGTAATATATATAATAACAACAACAATAATAATAATGAGGGTCGATACGGCAGATTCTCAAATACTTGTGTATATGAATGTTGTTTGTTTAAACAAAGAAAAAAACCCTCAATGCTTTCATGTTCACAGTGAAGGAAAACAGCACATGTTTTTTAATTGCGGAATCTTTTTATTCCGTTAAACATTCAGAGTATTTTCATCTGGAATTAAAAAAGGAACCACAGCGCCTCCGCCTGGCAGTACGGGGCAGTACAATGACATGATCAGAACAATGTTGGTCCCGGTGTCCTTTCCCACTGCACTGAACAGTGTTCTGGTTTTAATGGCGTTAGCATTAGCACTTAAGGATAAATGGAGTGTAGTCAGGTATGAGATGAGGAGTGAGGAAGTTTTCAACCTTCATGTGTGTTGTTTCAGGAATACATGGTCAGCTGGAGCCACTGGGACAAACACATGGAAACAGACCGTCACATATACATGTACACATGTATATACATCTACACAGGAAGTGTACATGGACTACAGTCTGAGAGAGAGAGAGAGAGAGAGAGGGCAAGGGGTACAGAGAGAGAGAAACTAAAAAGAAACTGAACTTTTACCTCCTTGATGTCAAGCTCAATGGACCCACTGTTGTCCTTGTCCAGAGTCTTGAAGGCTCCTGTGTGAGTACACACACACACACACACACACACACTTTTATTTAGTTTAAATAAAGAAAAGACTGCAGATGGTGAGGAGACAGCAGCGACTATGATTTAATTCAGCAAGAAATAATAGATAATAACACAGTGAGTCAGAGCTTTGTTAGTGACACAGTGACAGTAAATTAAAAGAAACTTTGATTCATGGGTCAAATAATAAGGTAAAAAAGATGAATTGGAATTCCTTATTTGAAAAGCCTCTAATTAGTGCCAATTAGTGTGTTTCCTTCACAGGGTCCACCATGTTTATAACCAGAGGGTGTGGGGAGGAGGTCACGATTGTGGAACTTACGACACATGGCGTCTAGTCGCACCAAGCAGCCGATGAAGTTGTCAAAGTCCATGTCTCCATGCTCATCGCTATAGCGACGGATGACCAGTTTATACAGCTGGTCATTTAGAGGGAAACCTGCACACACACACACACACACATACACACACACTTGGTCATAATTACATTGTTCTTTTCACAGCTACTGTTTTTGGAACCCAGCACTGACTTCTAATGCAAACCTTCTTCTTAAAACCAACTATAACCAGTTCATGTTTAATCCTGACCAGCAGAGCTAACCAATCACATCTTCATTCTGAACTTCAGAACCAGCTTCTGTCCAGCCAAGGCCAGGAGTGGCCCTGACTACACAGTGAGCACAGACACACACCTGCTTCTTTAAAGGCTCCAGGCAGCTCTGAACGGCTGATCACACCGGAACGATCTCTGTCATGGTTTATGTATACTTTCTGCCGTAGAAACAGAGAAATAAACAGAGGAGACTGATCATTCACAGGGACACGGACCAACACGGGTGTAAACCATGTGGTGTTCACGTGTAGCAGGAAAAGAAGACCAGTACCAACCTGCCATCTCTTTATGTTGTTCCACAGGTACTTGAACTCATGGAAGCCAAGTTTACCTGTGCTGTCACTCTGAGAGGGCGGAGTCAAGGACAATATGAGAACATCACAAATACTATCATAGCCTGTTGTTTCATTTTTTTATAATACAGGAGATCATATGAAAAGGCCCCGTTCTCTTTCTGTTCAAAAATCCAGACTTTCACCCTAAAGGGGCGGAGCTTATGCAGCCACAGCCTGTCAAGTGTTTCTTAATTAATTTGTCACAATATTTAAAATATCGTAGTGATTACAACTCTATTGTGTCTTTTCATGGATATAAATTGTCATTTCATAAAAATACCATAATATATTTTCTTTATTTTTGATTTTTTATGTATGCATTTGTATGTCATATAGTCTTGGCTAATCCTCTTCAGGTTTTGAACCAGGTGTCAGCTGATACCCCCCCCCCCAACTCCTCTTCAATCAAAGTCAGACTTAAAACCTTCCTGTTTGATAAATCCTATCTTTAAGTCTGCCTCAGCTGAACCTGAGTCGTCAGCTGTTACCTTAGTTCTGCTGCAGTAGGCCTAGATCGCTGGGTGATCATGTCATGAATATAAACGTAACTGTTTCTTAGTCCACTATCTTCATGAAACAGTGGTTGCTGCTGATTCACTGTAGTCAGTTAAACTCAGTGAGAGGATACATCCATCACAGCCACCATACTCCTGCAGCACTCGATGCTGAAGCCGTCAGTCCTTAGTTCAGGACCTGAAACGGGTCAACGAGACAGATGTCTGAACGTCAAGAGTCACAGCAGTTGTTTGTCCCCCAGTACATCATGTGACTCAGGGGTTCAGGCTAAAAACAGAAAACTTGACTCACATTTGGCCATGATGTTTTTGAGGATCTGCATCAGCTCTGTTGGACTCACTTCCATGTCCTGTTAGAAGGCACGCGCACACGCACACGCGCACACAGAAAGGAAGAGAGAGGGAGGAAGAGAGAAGGGGGAGTCAAAGTTGATATGTTTTCCAGTTTATGGGGGCAGAGACAGTTTTCTGTTCACCACTGTTATTCCTGTGGTTGGTTAAAACACACACACACACACACACACACACACACACACACACACACACAGAATGAGAGCTGAGTGATTTCTGGTCTCGCCCATCGGATGACTCACAAAAAAGCCACACACAGGCACACATACAACTTAAGCACAGACTCACACATACAACACCCTTCAGGCAGGAATGACGCCCAGGTCTACAATTGTAGGAATGTAGAAAAAGGAGTCCTGCCGTGTCACACACCCTGACGTCCACAGACACACACTGTGTTTATCTCTAAAAAAGATCAACACACAACACAACACACAATATCTGATACCCATTCACACACATTACATACAGTACATGCGTGCACACACACACACTTGAATAAACTTAAATCTAACTCTCATCTGACGTTTACTGTAAACTAAATCTTCAACGTCCTCAGAGGGACAAGGTGTCCCATGTCTACATCTATATAAGTGAGGTTTGTTTGAAACCAGGATTAGATAATCCCAAAAAAAGAAAGACTTGGTTTGGTCACTTCATGTAACTCAAAGCTGGATCTTATTCAGAAGATCTAAAAACAACCTGGTACCTGAACCTGGTCCTGATTAAAACCACTGAGGTGATGTTTGTTGTTGCCAGGCTACCATTGGACGGTTCTACTGGTGTACAGTGACTCTCAGTGGGTGAAACAGGTAGAGTGTGTGAACCATGACGGTTCTCAACATGTAGACGTTCAGACTCACATCTCCAGCCAGTCTCTGGAAGGCTTTCCTGAACTCCTTCTCCTCATCGTTTTCGTGAGACTCCGCAAAGTTCAGGGGTCTGCGAGGTGGCGGCTGTACACACACACACACAAAGAGAGTCTGTGTTACACACACACACATTCCTACGGCTCAGCTCTGGACTTGTTTACAGTGTTTATTTCAAACTACTGTGTTCATCATTTATTCAGTGTTGCACTTTTCACACACAGAAGAACAAATGACAACAAATACAGAACCACTGCATGTAAACAAGTGTCCTCGTGTCATCGATAGGCCTGACAGGTATGTTTTTGGACTCACATCAGATAGATAATTAAGAATCAAATATAGATAATAAAATTCGGCTTTAACATATATATTTATTCATGTATATAAATGTATACAAATATGTATGTATATATATATATGTGCATATATATATAAAGGTGTGTTGACTTTTTCTCTCTGCTGTTCGTGATTAAACATAATTTTCACATTATTTAGAAAATCAGTGTTTTAGGTATATTAGACTTTCTTCAGAAGGAATGAAGAAAAGAAGGTGGCGCTGCAGGAACAGAACAGTTCCTGACCCTGGTACTTACTGGTGGAGAAGGAATGAAGTCAGCAGGGTCGATGTTGCTGTTGGTAGAAAAGAGAATATGAATATACTGTATAAGCCTCGGGTGTTGGAAGCTTAGCTTAGCATTTACAGTTTACAGAAGGTCTTTAGAACAACTCACCTCACAATGTTGATGAGGCCTCCAATTAAATTCCTGGCTAAATACATGATGAAGTGTTCTGAGGCAGAGGAGAAAGAGCAAAGACAAAGGACAGGTAGAAGATGATGTTCTATTTTAGTTATATTTTCAGGTACTTTACTTTATTTAAATATAAATCAAGTTTATTCACTGACAGTTAACTCCACAAAGGAGTGTGTGGCTCTGTAGACAAACCAGGTGTGTCGTCAGACTCCAGTACATGGGCAGCACAGTTAAGTTTAAAGTTTTTATTTTATTTTTTTACTATTCTGTCTGTTCTGTAAGTTTTTGTAATTGGTCAGAAAAAGGAAGAGATAAGACATAAAAAATAACCTTATCATTGCGTTTGTTCTGTTGATAGTACCTAAGTAGTAATGGTAACATTCTTAACTAGTTAAGGCAGATAAATACTGTCTGAATATTAGTATTATATATTGTAGTAGTTTAAAAGGAACTTGGGCTCTGTTACAAATACACAACACGGAAAAAAAACTGCACAAGGATATTTTACTATTTAAAAGGTTGTCCCTGAACACAGCTACGGTCTTTTATGTTTTTAAAGGAAGACAGGAAATATTTTCACTCAACTACAATTACTCTGAGTACTTTTCCACCGCTGGAGAGTGAGGACTGCACAGTGTTAGGTTTCAGTGTACAACACGCACATAAAACACACAATTAACACACAACACGAACGGCCAGCATTTAAACTAATGTACAGTAAACACAAACAAAAACACAAGAAAGAGGTTTGTTTTACTCACAGAGGCCGAGAGCTGCACAAGGAGAAACACCGAAGAGACTGAGCTGTCAGAAGGGCGAGAGAGGCAGTGACACACTGACTGTGTGAGCGAGAGAGAGAGAGAGAGAGAGAGGGCGAGAGAGCGAGGTATTCAGAAAGGACACTCCCTCTGCTAGAGTTCAAACCAGCTGAGCAGAAAGATCCAAGTTCTTTCTGAATGCATCACCAACCACGCCCGACACACACACATTGTACCCTTTCTATTTCCAATCCTAACCCTACTTCAAATCTTGACTCTTACACGTCTCATCCTAAAACTAAACTAAAAAAAAAATGTCCACGAAGAACTGGATGATTTCCCTGGAGGACAAACTATACTCAAGATGATAATTAAGAGGAAAACTACACAGGAAGATATACACATAGACACACTTCAGACACAACAAACAACTTATGATGCATTCAAGTACATTGGAATATTTATATCATCATTTATTTGAAGAAAAAACCCCGATAGAACAGATGAACCAGAACAGGAAGAATTAAGCATTTCTTGGGAGCTGTATAGTAAAGTAAATGAAAATATTGCAAAAATATGTAAGTAAAGATTTTAACTAAAACAATGAAGATTTGAGGTGTCCGATGTCCTCAGGAAGGAATTATTATTGTTGTTGTTGTTGTTGTTGTTGTGCACCTGTGACTTCAGACATACATGCAAATTGCACTTATGTATAAAAGACCATCTTTACCAAGCTACTTCTTGTCTCTACGGCACAATGCGAAGTGACTTACGTTTTCGGAATAAAAAGCACATAAAAGGTTAAAATACGTAGGTAAGAAGTAAAATTAATCAGTTAACACCTATTAAATACGCCCTCAAGTCACTTCTACTTACAACGTGCCATTTACGCCTCCTGAAAACTAACAGAATTAAACATTTGTAGTCGTTGTTACTTAACGGACGTTTCTACTCTGTGTCGGTACGCTCTCTGAATGCATCGCTCCCCACGTGCTGACGTCAGCCGGAACCAGGAAGTTAGCGACTGGTTGTAGGCTGTAGTGATGGGAAGACCGACTCTTTTTATTGATTCGAATCTTTTTGGCTCTCGAGCAGTAAAATGAACGATTCGTGAACGAATCTTGAACTAATCATTTCATTCGTTTTACAGCAGGTGGCGCTTTAGCCCTATTGTGGGCGTTGTAAAGAAGACTGCGGTTCTCCGACACTTAATACTGAAGGCAACATGGTTTGCTTCCGCTGATAAAGTCTACAAAGTACACAAAATGCTATAAGCAATTAAAACTATAGATAGAACAACAGAAATGTTTGAACCAGAAAGAAGAATTCTCTGTTTGCAAGCTACTTTGTCTTTAATGTCCACTCAGACCACCACTGTCTCCTCTGTCT